ATAATATTTCTTCGGTAAGTTTGCCTGTTAAAAGAATGATGCACCATCAAAGCAGTTTTACACAGAAGATGATATATCCATCGATATCACAAAATACCTGTTTCTCTTCCCCCGCTTCCGTTGCTCTGCTTGGCTTTTCTCTGTCAATATTTCTGTCTCTTTCTCCCTGTCTCCTACTTTTCCTTGCGTTTTTCTGAACATTTTTACTGGCTTTCTCTCCTTCAAGCTCGCCTCGCCATTCAGGGAACTATCAGCGTGTGATTCGGACAGCAGTTCATGAAGACACTTACTTACATACTTACTTACTTACTCATGGAGCTGAGCCCTTCTGGAGGAGCCGCCAATTCTGCAGCTACTCAAGAATTTCCCAGCATTTTATGGAACCCGAAGGTTCATTACCGTGTTCACAAAAGCCCTCCACTGGTACCTAACCTGAGCCAGATCAGTCCAATCCAGACCATCCAATCCTGTCTAAAATACATTTTAATATCATCCACCCACCTACACTTTGGTCTTCCAAGTGGTCTCTCTCCATCTGGCTTTCCCATGAATATCCTATATGCATTCCTCGTCTCCCCCATTCGTGCTACATGACCTGCCCACCTCATCCTCCTTGACTTTATCATTCTAATTATACTTGGCGAGGAGTACAAGTTATGAAGCTCCTCATTATGCAGTTTTCTCCAGCCTCCTGTCACTTCATCTCTCTTCGGTCCAAAAATTCTCCTTAACCCTCTGTTCTCAAACACCCTCAGTCTGTGTTCCTCCCTTAATGTCAGAGACCAAGTTTCACACCAATACAGAACCACAGGCAAAATTATAGTTTTGTATATTCTAATTGTTATGTTTTTGGACAGCAGACGAGAAGACAAAAGGTTCTGGACTGAATGGTAGCAAGCATTACCCGAGTTTAACCTCCTCTTAATTTCCTCCTGAATCGGGTTTCGATCTGTTATCGTCGTTCTCAAATATCTCAACTGTGCCACTTTTTCAAAATATCTGTCTCCTATCTTTATATCATGATTTTGCCCTGCATTTTGGTGACGAGACAGCAACATATACTTCGTTTTCTCTGTGTTTACTTCTAGATCAACCTCTTTACTTGCGTCAATTAAAGTTTGTGTTTTTCTTTATTGTAACCATATTATCGCCCAGTAGATTCACATCATCGGCATAGGCCAAAAGCTGATGTGTCCCGTTTAATCTCAGTCCCACCTGGTTTCCCTGGACTTCCAAATGACATATTCTAAAGCAAAGTTGAAAAGGAGTGGCGATAAAGCATCTCCTTGTGTTAGACCATTCTGGATAGGAAATTTATCAGACAATTTTTTTACCTATACGGACTTTACTATACGTTTCGTTTAAACACATTTTAAATAGCCTAACTAGTTTCATGAAACTCTATCAGAATATTGTACAATACTTCCCTCCTAACTGAATCATAGGATTTCTTGAAGTCTATGGATAGCTGATGTACTGTCTCATCGTACTCACATTTTTCTCCAGTATCTGACGAATGCAAAACATCTGTAGTCGATCTGTTACGTCGAAACCCACACTGATGATCCCCAATAATTGCATCCATGTATGGACTTAGACGAGAATACTGGATGAATTTTGTACATGAAGTTGATAGCAGTGATATCCCCCGAAAATTACGACAATCAATTTTTCACCCTTCTTGTGAACTGGTACAACAATAGACTCCTTCTACTGATCATGCAATTTTTTTCTTATGCCAAATAGAAGTAATTATCTTACGTGTCTTAGAACGTAATATTTCGCCTCCTGCCTCAATTAGTTCTGCAGGAATCTGATTACTCCCCATGAAGACTCTAAAGAATGGAATTACGATATTGCTGAATATAATCAAGTTTAAATTGGTGAGACTATACCATAAAATTCTGTCGAATTTTGAATACGGTAAGACTTCAATAATTCGGAATAATTTGGAGCAAACCCTTGTCCAAAATTAGTGAAAGTCCGAATTATAAGAGAGCTACTGAAATATATATTCAGGGAAGTTACAAAATGGACTTCATGTTTCATTTTCGGCAGTACAACTTTGTTTTGAATCTTAGATAAATTTACTTGGTAACAAATTGTGAAAATATTAAGTTTTGACGTCAGTCTTAAAAATATTTTAGGCAGCGGTAATTAGATCATAAATAAAAAAAGTTGTCCAAATTACCGCGAATTCCGACTTTGTCAGATTTCCTTCTATTCAAAATTGAAAAGGGGGAAAACCATACCAAATACCATTAACAAAAATTGATATTATCTAAAAAAAATGTTCTCGAAAGTTATCAAGAATATTCCTAAACGACTAAAGCTTAAGTCTGTAAGCAAATTTTTTGGCTACCGCCCTCTCCCCTGAAATAAAAAATCTTGGTGGTGTCCATGGACAATACAGGCACCCGTAGACTCTCTAACCCAATATTCCTATGCGCACAGTACAGGTATGATGGCAAAGCCAAACATTTACATAAGTTCAGAATGAATCAATACAGATCTTAGGGAGAATAAGAGAATTAGTCCCCCATACTCCACCATCTTAACAAGAAAATTGCATACTCAAAAGTTCTTCTGTTTACACAAGGTTTTGTCGCAAGTTTACACTCAATGTATTTCTATATATTAACTAAAGGAAGCATATGGCCTTTCCGTCGGAACTGTATTACAATAAATTGCATTTCTTTGTGACGTGCTTTTACGACGCTCTCCGCAGGTGTCAAACGGTAGGGTGACAGACGAATGACGAATTAGGAAGGGTCTGGAAATAAGCAGCCGTGTTCTAGTCCAGGTTCCATCCGGGAATATTCTGCAGGGTCTCAGAGAACCCAGGAAAACCTCAGACAGGACTGCCGGTATCCCAGCCGAGATTCGAAAGAAGTACCTCCCGAATGCGAGTCTACAGCGTCACCGGTCCCGTTTATTTCATTGAAATAGTGAATTCCATTATAACACAGTTTATATATATATATATATATATATATATATATATATATATATATATATATTTATATAT